CATTGTTCTGTCATAAGGTATAATGACTACTGAAACAAATAGTTAAAATGAAGTTTCCTTTTTTTTTTTCCTTTTTGTCTTTTTTACTGACCGGTAACGGGATCCCAACACTTGGTGTTGTGCCTGCACCGCGCTCAGCCAGTGAGTGGGAACTGGTCTCCACATGGGATCGGAACCCTCGGCGGGAGTGCCGCCGCGCTCCCAAGCGGTGCACTCTCCAGTGCGCCACCGGGCCGGCCCTAAAATGAAGTTTCTTAAAGAAAAAAAAAAAAATGCCATAGCCAGACAAATGTGTGTGTGTGTATGTGTGTGTAAATAAATTCTAGTATAAAGAGAACCAATTTGAAGAAAACAATTTCTAAATTTCAAAAACACTGCAAATAATGCCTGTGGAAATTATTCTATGCAAATTAGACTCTCTACTCCACAGGTGGGCCTTTGCTATATTACTAATTTAAGGAGGACAAAAATAATTGAACCTGCATTAAAAAAGGCAACTAGACCTATGCAATAGTTACAGCAGTGAATAGAGTTTTATAAAGCTAAAAAAATTTACACCTTTATGCAATCTTGGACCAATCCAGTTACCCTCTATGTCTATACTAGAAGAAACTTTTTTGTATGAGAATAAGTATGTACCCTTCATGGTTCATGCCATGGAATCACATATAAGTGAAGGAACTGTAAAGCAAGTAATTTTGAGCAACATTAACTCCTTGGAAAGAGTACAAGACTAAAGTTTTTCGTTTATGTTTTCAGTAGACAACTACATGGCTTTGGCATGCACAGGTTGAGCAAGCAACCCTAATCCAAAAATCCAAAATCTGAAATGTTCCCAAATCCAAAACTTTTTGAGCACCCACATGGCGCTCAGAGGAAATGCTCATTGGAGCAGTTCAGATTTGGGATTTTTAGATTAGGTTTGCTCACCAGTATGTATTCTACAAATATTCCAAAAAAAAAAAAAAAAAAAAAAAAAACTAAAAACCAAAAACCCTTCTGGTCCCAAGGATTTCAGGTTAAGGGATACTCAACCTGTATTTACCTAATTTAAAATTTATATTTTAGAAAATCTCTAAGCTAAAAACTATCCTAACTCTACCAGAAAAGTTCAACAGATCAAAGAATACTTAATTAAAATCACAACCTGTCGAAAAGGACTTACACACAGATACCTAAATGCCAGGCATATATCTAAATACAAGAAAATTATTGCTTTAAATGGTCTATGTGATTCAGATTCTTCACAAATTCAGACTTGCTTTTGATGCAGTTATTACAGTCCATGCAATCTATGTTCTATATAGTAGTGCAATGAGCAACACAGAGAAAAGTTTTTTTTTTTTTTTTTTTTT